CGTGGCTAGTAATGTAGGCAGGGCGTTGCGCTTCTAGTCTAAAGGTCATGGGTTCGAGCCTCGGGTGGATATGATTGGCTCATAACGGCTAGTAACCCAGAAATGACCATTCCAGTCTTCCTTGTGTTTGCCGGCAGTGTCCATCTGCCTACAGGACTAATTGCTGTACAGTGCTCGACGGTGAGCTCCAAAGCAGAACTAGACGAGTAGGTTCAGTTAACGATCGGTGAGCGTTCGCCGGCGAATTGTAAGGGAATAAATTCCTGTGAAAGGGGTTGTACAATTGGCCTTTTAGAGGGTTTGTCAGCACAAGTTACTGTGGAATTAACTATTTGGTGCTCCTGTTGTAAGTTGAAGCATTTGTAGTGTCACTTCAATTTTTCAGTAGGACAAATGAATTTCCAAAGTTCTGGCAGAATTATCTATGAAGAGACGATAGCGGGCGCACACCCCGTGTTAATGTTGTTCAGTTCGCCAACGAAGGCTGTCGGTGGCTGATTTCCTTGCATTTTATAGGCTAGCATCTCATGTTAAGCTGTGTCCCTTCACGGAAAGGTGACTAATGCCGGCACAGTCCATGGCCCATATAACATTACGAGTGAATACTTTTAGGATAGAAAAAAGATCGTCGAAGCAATGCATTTTTATGATGTGGCATTGGTTGGCATGGTGAGGATAGCTAGTCGTTCGTGAGGGAAGTCATGGGAGCAACGAGAATGGTCTATGTAATCGGAATACAGCGAAAAGGGGAAGTTCGTTCGCATAGCTCGGCGGACGCAGGAGTACGCGTTCAATCCCCATGGCTCTCCGATCTACGTGAATGCACTGTCAAACAGACGAGCGGGATGACTGGGGGATGGCAGAGGAATAGAAGATCCATTTCTATGTTTGCCATTTGAGGACAGAGAATATGATTTAACAAAACTTGAACACTTCCATTATACCACTGCTTGAAGGTCTTGTTTATTATGTCGTGCAGGCAACCTTGACGTGACAAGGGATTGGATATCAGAAGACAGCACAACCGCACCTGAAAGC